GATTAAAGGGACCAAACTTTTTTCATCCATGTCAACTGGTGGAGAGTAATTCCAAGAGAACCTGCAAGTTGAAGGCTGAAAACTTTGTGTGGCACCCTCCAGAAGCCCACTGTTCTGGGTCCCTTGTCACCTCAGCACAGGATCCTCAGACTCTTCCCTAGGCCCCGCCCTCTTCCCAACCTGTAGGTGGTAGCAAGCTGCAAGGGACCCTCCTTTTTTCTTCTGCTACTCTCTGTTTTGAACTCCATCTACACAAGAGGACTTTCAAATCTATATCTTCAGCCCAGCCTCACCTGTTATTTTGAGAATATAAGCTACGGATCCTTTGTCTTGTTTTCCCCTACACCCGCAGAACAGCACAGAATACCGCTTACCGCGAATTGATTCTCCAGTGTTTTGCAAAACAAATAATAGGTGGCAAACTTGAACAGAAAGGCCTTTCTCTCTGCCACTTTTTTTTTCCTTTCCCCTCATTATTAGGTGAATGTTCTACATTAAGATAGATTCCCAGCCCTGTTTTGCTTTTATTTTGTTTTGAGGCAGAGTCTCCTAAAGTTGCCCAAGCTGACCTCAAAGTTGGGATCTTCCTCAGCCTCACAAATAGCTGGGATTACAGGTATGCACTGTCCCAGCCCACTCACATTCCCTTTTAATGATTGCCAGTATTTTGAATAAAACAGTTCTGTTTACAATGGTATAGGTATTTAGGCTGTGTGAAGCAAAATAATTAAAATTGAAATTCAGAGGGTTCTGTTTTATTTTTTATTTATTTATTTTGACAGAACCAGGGATTGAACTCAGGCCCTTGCGCTTACCAGGCAAGCGTGTATTCTACTGAGCCATCTCCCTGGCCCCATCTGTTTTATTTTTAAAAATTAGAAAATGCACCTTGGTTTGAATGTTACCTTAATCACTCCTCTATATCTAGACTTTGCCTAACTGATCACACATCTAGTTTATATCTCTTATTATAATATACATCAGTAATTTAGAGAGTGAATTTTGTATTTTAGAAAAAAAAAAAACAAAAATAAATGAATACACTAGAACGGCAGTGGGCGTGAGGGAGAGCAGGAGACAGCAACCATTGCAAACGGATTTCATAAGCAAGTGCTTTCCACATTACTGTACTCCCAGCAGCTACCACACTGCCAGGGATTTCTCCTTAAAGAGATGACAGATATTCCATGTATCTTTTTTCACATCCAGGCCCCATCAAAGCCTTTGAGATAGGTATCATTGCCACCTTCATTTTACAATGAAGAAACTGAGGCTCAGAGAGATAAGCTGCTTATTTGGAGTCACAAGTGTTAAGTGGAGGAGCTGAGATTCAAGTCTGGCTTGGGTCTACGCCCAGGTCCTTTCCTTTAACATGTACTTCAGAAGCCATTGCTAAATACTGCTAAAAGGCAACTCAATATGAATCTGTACACAGTGTTTCATTTTCATTTTTGGTGCTAGCGATTGAACTCAAGGCCTTGTACATGCTAAGCAATGGGACTCTACCATTAAGTTACACCCCAACCCCTCTACAGGTTTTTGATTAATAAATTCAAGCAAATTCAAATTACTGAAATCCAACAAAAATACTGTGTGTGTGTGTGTGTGTGTGTGTGTGTGTGTGTGTTGTGCTGGGGATTGACACAAGTATTTATTGAGCATCTAGTGTGCCAGGTGCTATTCTAACTACTAGGGATATAGAAGGATATAAGACATGAGGTCAGCCAGGCATTGTGGCACAGGCCTATAATACCAGAATCTGGGAGACTGAGATGTGAGGATTACTCTTCCAAGGCCAGTCTGGCTACATAATGAGTTTAAGGCCAGCCCGAACTATATAGCAAGACCCTACCTCAAAACAAAACAAACGAGACACATACGAGCTTTGTATTGATATAGGGATGACTGATCAAACAGAGATACAAGAAGATCACTACGGACTGTAATAAAGGATGTGAGCACTATAAACACAGTTAAGGAAGTACGCAGTTATGGAATGCAATGATAAGTGTGCTACTTTAACTTACGTGATCCAGAAGGACCTCTAAAGCCAGGGGTGGTGGCATGTGCCTGTACACCTTAGCACTCTGGGAAGCTGAGGCACAAGCATCACAAATTCAAGTCCCACATGGGCAATGTAGTAAGACCCTGTATCAAAATTAAATTTTTTTTCTTCAAATGCATATTTATTTAAAATATGAAGTCTTTATTATGACATTCAAGTCTCTGCATCATTAGGACAACAAAACTTATACTGACTCCCACTCTCACCACACTGTACTTCCGTCCCTTCTCGACATCTCTGGACCTTCTCCATTACGTAGCTGTAATGCTCTTCTGCGTATCTGTGAAGCTCTCTCCCTCTTGGCCTTTGTGTCTGCAGTCATGTCTTCTTCTTGATGATCAATCTCTGTGAATCCCTCAGTTCTTGAACTCACCTTAGTTCTCTTTAGATCCCTTATTGTTGACCTGGTCTCAACTGAGTTTTCCTGGTTGTTTATGTTATATTTCCTCTTTTTAGAATGCAAGATTCAAACACTATATTACTTATTGTTCCACACTCAAAATTAAAATTTTTACGAAGAGCTAAGTATGTAGCTCAGCGTAAAGGCCCTAAATTCAATCACCAGTACCAGAAAAGAAGAAAAGACATGACCTCTAAGCTAGACTGAGACAGGAGGATCAAAAGTTCCAGTCCCACCCAGAATACGTATCGAAACCCTCCCTCACAACTTAAGAGGAAGGGTGCTGGAATGTAGCTCAGTGTAAAGGCCCCAAGTTCAATCCCCAATCCCACCAAAAGCAAACAAACAAAAACGTTAAAGTTAGGAGGTGACCCCAACCCAAAGCCTAGAGGATGAAAATGAACTGGCCAAGTAGGGAGCTTAGGGAAGAGTATTCAGGTTGAGGGAACTGCAGTGGCAAAGGCTCTGAGGTGGGAACATTGGTCAAACAGTAGAAAGAAAATGAAGTGGAGTCAGCTCAATACAGAGAACACAAGAAGTCTGGTAAAGGGTACAGACAGATTGTATGCTGCTTTTAGACAGGAAAATGCTGTGATTTGGGCTTATTTACTTATTTGTTGATATTGAATCTCACTGTGTTGCTCAGACTCTCAAACTAACTCCTATGCTCAAGCAATCCACCTCCCTCAGCCTCCCAAGTAGCAGATAGTACAGGCATGTGCCACAATGTACAGCTTCTGGTTTATATTTTTAAAGCTTTTTATTACTGCAGAAGAGACTGTTGGAAAGCAGGAAAGGACCAGGAAGGTACACTGGGAGGTAATTTCAGAAATACACAGACAGCAGATGGTGGTTGGGGCTAGGGATGGGGAAAAGCCGTCAGATGTTCAAATGTGTTTTGCCATAGCCCCCTCAAGCCAATTAATATATATATA